CTCTCTCTCTCTCTCTCTCTCTCTCTCTCTCTCTCTCTCTCTCTCTCTCTCTTCCCCCCCCCCAGGGTCTTTCTGTTTCTCATGTTTCCCACTCCCTCATCATAGGTCCTTGCAGAGTGGAAGCAAAAACTGGATGAAAGTCAAGCTGAGTTGGAAGCTGCCCAGAAAGAGTCCAGGTCTCTCAGTACTGAAATCTTCAAGATGAGGAATGCCTACGAGGAGGTGGTGGACCAGTTAGAGACGCTGAAGCGAGAGAATAAAAATCTGCAAGGTGAGCTCCCTCCAGAGCACAGCCGGGTCAGGCTGCCCTTCTCCTGCCAACTCCAGTCCCATTCACCCACAGCTTCCTCCTCCCTATGATCCTACAACACCCCCATCCATCAAACCTCCCAGTTACTAGTGTTCCCCAAGGCTCAACCCCTCTTTGTGAAAGGTGTAAGCGCAGCTGATAATCAGCTTGAGGACTGCAGCTACCCGGTGAGTTGCTAAGTACATCGCTATTAGAAAACAAGAGACTTAGGATTCTAGCCTTCATGTGGCCTCACGTCCTTGTGCCTGTGGCTAAAACTCTTGATGACTTCAGACTTGCTATAACTAGACATCATCCATGTTTCCCTAAGTTTGACTGCATTCTGGAAGACTGAGAGTCTAAGGTTTCTGGTCCTCCATGGTGGTTCTGTATATGTAGGGTCAAAGAGAATCTTCTTGTTGTCCCTCATTTGTAGGTAGACTTTTCTGTCCTGTCAGCCCAAGTCCCAAATAACCAACATGGAGACTTAATATTAATTATAGATGTTTGGTCAATAGCTCAGGCTTGTTACTAGTTAACTCTTATAGCTCAAATTAACCCATTTATAGTCATCTACATTCTGTCACAAGGAATCATCTCTGTTTCATCACAGATTGTTCATGCTTCTCTTTACATCTCTCCCAACTCCTCAGACTCTCCCCTTCTCTTTCCTAGTGTCCTCCTAGTCTGGCTTTCCTGCCCAATCTCTTCCTTCCCAGGTACAGGCCAGTCAACTCTCTATTAACCAATGTGAGTCAGACATATTTACAGTGTACAAAGATTGTTCCACAGCATTTATTCTCTACAGGGTTGAGGTGAGGCAACACTCCTGTGTCTGGCCTATCACCCACCAGAACAGCGTCCCATAGTCTCTATGTAAAAGCCTTGAATGAACTGCCGTCCCCTCGCTTGCCTGGCAAACACCTAGGCTGGGAGCTGGAGCCCACTGGAAGCCTAAACCAAGACTATCTCTTGCAGAAGAGATTTCTGACTTAACTGAGCAGATTGCAGAAATGGGCAAGAACCTCCAGGAAGTGGAAAAGACGAAGAAGCAAGTGGAACAGGAGAAGTCCGAGCTCCAGGCTGCTTTAGAAGAGGTGGAGGCAAGTGTCTTGTCTGGAATCAGATAGGAAACAAAAAGAAACAATGCTCACTCACCCTCATGGGGCCTGGAACATGGAATCCCCCACTGGGAAGAACAGTCAGCCAGCCCTAGATCTGAAAAGCCCGGGCTGAGCCACTTTATCCCCTGGTGTCATTTATCCTATGTCCCCCTTTGAGAATAAATAAATGTGTTCTTTATGTCCTCAATAGCTTCCTCTCAAGAAGGAAACTGCCCATCACCAAGCATCCCTTGAGCCCCCTCAAAATCCCTTGGTGCCTGTTTCATACAGAGGCTTACAGCATCTTTGGCTACCAGGAATCCTGCAAAGAGACCCAGAGTCTCCCGGTGTCATAATCAGTTTTATTATAGTCACAATTATGTACCTGATATTAGTCACTATTAAGCACACCATTTAGACAATTATTTACCAGCTCAAGAGATGCGCTCCCATTTCAAGGTATGAGATGGTTAATCGCAGATACGAAGTTTGAATCTGACTTCCATTACTCTTAGGGCTGTTCAGGAGCCCATCAAATGTTCAAGCCTCAGAGCATTGCTCCCATGTGTATAAAGGGAGCATCACTGTGCCATATTTATCATAATTTGAAGGAAAATGCTCATTTAGGGGGTGCCACTAGGTGTAATGGCCCACACCTGTAATCCCAGCATCCAGGAAGATCATGAGTTTAAGAACAGCCAAGGCTACATAGTGAGTTCCAGGCTAGCGGGCACTATTGGGAGGCAGAGGCAGGCGGATCTCTGTGAGTTCGAGGCCAGCCTGGTCTACAAGAGCTAGTTCCAGGACAGGCTCCAAAACCACAGAGACACCCTGTCTCGAAAAACCAAAAAAAAAAAAAAAGGAAGAGAGAGAGAGAGAGAGAGAGAAAGACAGAGAGAGAGAGAGAAA